ATCCTCCACAACTAGATTGAAGAACAAAACGACAGCAACTTGTCTGTTCCCCTTCCCCCAATTCCCCTGCACTGTTCCCATCCCCCCAATTCCCCAATAAAAATCTTTAAAAAAAAAAAAAAGTGGCCAGGAACTTGTCATTTTGGTTCAACCAAAAATAACAGATGGAGCTTTTGTTTTTAGCTTTCTTGTTGAGTATAAAGATATTCAGAAGTTTTTTGCTCCCTAAGATTAAACAGTTGCTTAGTTCTGTAAATTCTAATAATAACAATTATAACTAATAAGCCTGACTGGGTAACATCTGTCACAGAAATCTCTTCATTTCCAGTGCTGTTACTAAATTCAGGCCCTCACAAACCGTGTAATCTAAGAAACTTGGTAAACTTCTCTTAGACTGTTTCTTCTTCTGAAATGGGGAAAGCGTGCCAGATTTGTCGGGTTTTATGCACTACACGTTACCATATGCCAGGTATTCTACACATTTTGTAAATACGAATTCAGGCATTCTCATAATAACCTTATGAAGTAAATACTATTATTACATCAGTATTCTGCAGATGAGAAAACTGAGTCACAGAAAGTTAAGTAATTTGCTCAGTACCACACAGTTCATGATATGGTGAAACTGGAATTAAAGCCAGGTTAGTCTAGTTCTGGAGTCTCTGTTTTAACCACTACAATATTTGGTGGGGATTTAAATGGGATGATATGCAAAGCACTCAGTACAATATGCACTCAGTATTTAATAGCTATCTTTGCTATCATTTATAGCTGCTGTCAGCCAATGAAAGCATAAATCGCTTCTCTTTGAGTGCTGTCTAATCAAGATGAATGGAACCCATCACTTGGTTTTGGGATTCTTATCATCTCTTTGTGGCTACTTGCTGAGGATCAGACAAATCTTTGATGTTTGAGATTTGATGTACTATATAGATACTGGGAGTGGCTAGACTTCTGAATTCCTGGAAGCTGAAGGGTCATTTTATGTATTTTCCTGTACTAATCATAGGACAATTGTTCAATAGTGATATTAGATGTAGAAATCTGGGGGGAGCAAACCACCTCACCAAGTTACTTTCTGGCCCATCCACATGATTTTTAGACTCAATCACCTTAAAAATCTGTGTGTGTGTGTGTGTGTGTGTGTGTGTGTGTGTGTGTGTGTGTGTGCTTATACAAACCTATTTTATATTTTATGGGTGGAACAGATTTCTTAAAATAAAGGGAAGTAATGTCAAATGTCTGTCCACTCTCCTCACCCTTATCTTTCTCCCGTTCACAGTCCCCAAGTAAGAAAAGCTCAGGAATTTCCTTGGGATGCACATAGCTGATGAAGGTTGTGATCTTAACAGTCTGCTATTAGGCTATGATTGACGTTAGCTAGCTCCCGTTCTGTATTTTATCCACAGGTAAAGTCATTAGGATTGGACTCCATCTCAAAGGACTAAGTAAATAAGAAAGTTATACCCAGTGTATGCCCAAGGCAAGAGAGGGTATTAGTTCTCTTTTAGCATTTTTTCTGTCTTGTTGCAATACAAAGTAGGGTAAGCACCCTACTGGCCCCTTTTCTCCCAGATGGTGACCTAGGAAGTGGGAACGTACTTCTCATAGGCTCCTTTTCTCCTAAGACATTGAGATAAGCAAAAGTCATTAATATTAGCTCAACTGCTTTGTTTTACAAGAGAACAGAGTTTAATTAATACTCAAGATTAAAACTACTTTGTGGCCAAATCTCACTAGCATAAATTTCTTATCTGGAGTGAATTTTAAGTAAAAAACCACTTCCCATATATATATCTGCATAGTATGACTTGCTATTTTTCTCATCATGGTAACATAATCATAACAGTACGATTTGAAAACTTTTTCCTGCACAAGCTGACACTAGTTTATTTTACTCACATCTCATTGTGAAATAATTGAAGGCAAAGGTTTAAGAAATTTTCTTTTAAACTATAAAGTTATTACTGTAAATGATCTGCAGTGGGCTGTGGAATTTGTTTCATTATTTTATGAATATACATCACAGCACTGCCCATTTTCACTGGAAATACAATGCTCATTAATATTTGGTCATTAAAATATGAGAAAATTATTTTGTAAGAGTAAATTAAAAAAATACTTTTATATGTATAGAAAAATTTTACAACACTTCTGTTCACCACTCAGTTTTCAAAGACAATAAGAATCAATATGTACTTTCTTTATTGTAAACAACAATGAAACCTGAATAGCTGGAAGAGTAGATTTGGCAATGTGGAAAATTCCACTGGAATCCAAAGTGACTAAAAAGTTTAATTACATGTTACACATTTAAGTCTTCCCATTTTTTATGAAAAATTAAAATCAGGTAAGATTTAAAAAAAACAACTAAAAATAACTTGTCAAAATGATATTAAGATTTCCATAATTTAGAAGTTATATGATTCAATTTGTTGATGTAAAATCTCTGTCTGCATGAAAAACAATGGCAACACACCAAAAATATTTTTCATTTCACATCACATAATCTATAAAACAGGAAAATTGGTGGAATGGACTGAAGACAGATGAATACAACCCCAGAAAAGGGAATGAAAGAGAAGGGAAAGGAAGAGAAGAGAAGGAAGGGGGAAGAAAGCCATAAATATAATATAAATATGGAAGCAGTTCAGAGCAAAGTTACTGCAAGAGGTTAGGAAAAGCAACCAGACATCAATCAGCTCTCTAACAGCAGAGAAGGCTAGAGGTGGGTTCTAAAGAGCTCTCAGGTCTGTAAGGGAGGGGTAGGAAGCAACAAAATCTTAGTCATTAGTAGTCCTCCAAGGGTCAGTCTCCCAAGGTACTCTTCTGTGTAGTTTTCGAGTCTTGGGTTCTGGCTTTAACTTGATTGGGTTGGGTCTGCTTCTACCACTTACTAGCTGACCTTCTTTGACTAAATTAAGCAATTATGTATCCCTTTCCTCACACGCTCAAATGAGGATAGCAATAGTACTAACTTCACTAGATTGTCATGAGAAGTACCGCCCTGAAACCCTGGCAAAGTATGTCCTGCCCTGTGTCCTGCGTGATAGAGGCCCTGAATATTACAGAGAAACGTGAATTTGTGAGAGCACACGTAGGCACATGCATAAGAGCACAGCACCCCGTAGTGCATTTATCTGCCGCCGTGATACTTTTAGACCACAGGGAAACAGCTTTCAAAATCTCTTGCTGTGTGCCCTGCACAGAAAAGGAGGCTGTGTCCGACTCCTGGACTTGAGGGTTGCTCTATTGCCCGTGTCCAAGCAGGACCCGCCTCCGAGGCGCGTTGGGAAGCTGGTTTGGGAAGTTCTTGTCAAATCCTTCCTGCCAACAGGACATCAAAAGTTTTTGCACAAGGATCGGTTTCCAGCAATATTGAGCTCCCACCTCGGTTCTTTTCCCGTATCAGTTCCTGCTTCGAGAGGTATTCACAAACTCGTGAACTAACAAGTGTGTTTGCAGCATTGCATTTTGTGGCTGAGGAAAATTGTGTAATACTGAACAATTTATATTCTTCTTGAATGAGCGGGCATGCGCAGACCTTTTCTTTATCTTGGTGACTGGATGGGCACAACACTGGAATTCTAATAATTATTTCAATTAAATAATTTAGGATAATTTCAGTTTTACTTAAATAATTTTACCTTGAAGTTTTGATGTGTAATAATTATATTTTATATTCTTTTGTTCTTCTGAGATGATTTTGAATACTTTAGAAAAAAATAATTTCAAAGCAAAATTATTTTATGTTTCTATTCCCAGTAGTTACTTTAAGGAATATATTTTGATGCATATATATATAGTCACATTTTGCACACTCTTAAAATAACTATACTTTATTTTTAATTCTTTGAGTTATTAGGATTTGTAGAGCACAAATTATGGAAAAATTTGATTATAACAACATAATAAAGATTTTGGTGAATTAAAAGCAAGAAATCAAATTTTATGAAATAAATTCATAATAATTAATAGATTATATATTTATTTGATTTTTCATCCAAAGATACTTAGAGAAGCAATAGAACACCTTCCATCAGATATGACAATTTTGTCATTTTATAGGCATATTTGCTAAAGTAGGAAGATAAAAACATACTGTTTAATAATTTTGTTGCTTGATTTATAACTTGGTTCAGAAGATCAATGATGTAGTATTTGAGCTTAAAATAATTCAATTAATTTTAGCCATGGAGCTTTTCTAGGCACTGAGAAACAACAGTAAATTGATAAAAATCTTACCTTCATAGGGATTTGTTCTAGTGCAGAGGTCCACAAACATTTTCTGAAAAGGGCCAGGTGGTAAATATTTTAGGCTTTGTAGACCACATATGATCTCTGTCACATATTCTTTTTTGTTTATTTTGTTTCAAACTTTAACAATGTAGAAATTATTTTTCACTTGCAGGCCATGCAAAAGGAAGTCATTCCAACACAGGCCTTGGGTCAGAGTTGGCTCTCAGGCCTTAGTTTGCAGACTTAGGTTCCAGTGCCATCAGCTGCAATACATCTGAGGAGATAGAGTGAAAGGCCAAATCAAGCCCTACACACTTCAGTATTTTCTAGGTTCATTACTGAATTGTAACTGGCTTCCTCCGAAAGCCAACATGGGTCTACAAGTCAAGTAACTTGGGGATATGGACTGGATGTGGTGCAATTGGGGGGTGGGTGTGGGAGAGTCATTTTCAAGGCCAAGAAAGTTAGACACAGTTAAGTACCATATGTACAATGTAACTGTGTCATGCAAGTCACTGTCAGGAACTCAGTGGAGCTGGAGAGAGAGTTGAGCTGTCAGCCAAGTTCAGGTAGCAAAGGAAAGGAACAAGCAAAAACGGAAGTAACAGTGGAGCCTTAGTAACTTGGTGCAATAGCACAGGCAAAAGGCTAAAATCAGAGAAAGCACTGACTCCCCCTTGTATTTTTCCCCCCATGGAGTGGTGCACAGGTCAAGGGTCAGCTGGATTAGCACAGACATGAAAGTCATCTCACTGTTGAGGGAGCCCCAAACAAAAGGCTCCCGCAGTTTTATTGACCTGGGGGATGTGGGGAGGGAGAAAGAGGAGATCTAGGACAAAGGAAAAGTACTAGGTATTGAGTCAGAGTGGGAAAAATTGTCTTCAAGTTTCCCAATCAGAAAACTTCCAAATAGAGGCACCTGGGCTAGGAATGCTGATGTGCATACGAGCATCGCCAGCCAGGGGTGGGGGGGCCTGCCTCCTGACTGCAGCTCCCTTCAGAGACTGTGATGTCCCTGGTTATGCACCAGGTCTTGGAGAGCAGTTTTTCCCCATGAGGCCTGCCAGGTAGAATCGTTATAATTGCTTATGGTTAGGCCTGAAAAACCACACAAAGGTTTTTGGCCAGAAGCCGGACTGCTCAGTCACTCTATAATACGTAGTCCCTCAGTCTGATGAAATGAACTTACTATTTATTCCACAAATAGTTATTGAGCACCTGCTATGTGCCAGATTCTGGGCTCAGCATTCATGTACCTCTCCGTCTCAAAGCAAAAATTCAATAGGTAGACTCTGAATATACAAGTAGTTGATTCGTTTTTTAAATATTCGAGTTAAACCTGGCTTTAGATGGTCCAATATAAGCATATTATTGCTAAAACAATTGATTGCTTTTAAAAATGAGTGTGGTGTAGCTCATGGTTATCTAAGTGCTAGTAAATATTTTGATGAAGCTTGAAGTTTCTCCCAAATCAAATTCTCAGTTTAGAAATTGATTCTTATGCACACTGATGGTTTAGGTTCTCCCATAATGCACCAGTTTGTTATGAAAATAATATGGATCTAGAGCATTTATGTATAAAGACTAGGGAGAATTATGTCAAGGAAACTTCTTTCTGGTTTTGATCTATTTGTGTTTTTGGTAAAGTTATTTTATTTGCTTTTAAACAAAAACTTAATTGAGTATAACAGTATTGTGCATATGACTAAAGTCAATCTTAAAAAGTAAATACATGTCAATAGGGGTGTGTTTGTGTGTGTGTGTGTGTGTGTGTGTGTGTGTGTGCACGTGTGCATGATGATCCTTTTGTCCTCTAATAATTATTCCTTATTGTTTTAAACATGTAGAACAGAGGGCTCTTAGGCATAGAATGTCACAAGGAAGTTGTTCTACTCAACTAAAGACATACAGGATTTCATGCTTCTCATCTCAACAAAGATGCACCTTATAATGATGTTTAAACTTCCAATTCTTTTCCATACCAAATATCAAAGGAGAAACTTGAAGTCAACTGTTACTTGATTTCTCTCTGCTCACGTATCATTCTTTTCTTCTGATGATGAATGTGTTGTAGTTTAAAGAAATCACAAAGGAGATAAAAACTTCAACAGTAAATAAAAAATGTACTTTGCTGAAAGCCAAGGTGCAAACCTCTAGAGAGGACACAGCTGTGTTTCCAATATTTCATTTTATAAAAAAGGGGGAAATTATCAAAAAGCAAAATAAACTGGCATGGCATTTTATAATCCTACATAAAGTTACTCCATAGAGCTTAAACCTATCCATTCCTTTCCCCATAATGTCTAAAACCATGACTAGATCTATAACACATGATTAAAATCATTTCAATATCACTTATTACAGTTACAGAGAACTAAGCGGTTAAAAATAGTGCTTCTCTCTATACTTTTAGAGAGACAGAGAGGAAAAGAAATAGAGAGATTGCTTAAAGGGATATATTTCAGTTATCAGAATGTCTTCTATCTTGAATACCTCATTAAGCAACAATGCTCAAAACTAAAGATGCTTTCTTATGGTTAATTATTCTTAGCATTGCCTAAAAAATTCAGTCACAGCTATTTATTATACACACATACATATATGTATATATATGCATACATGCATGTATTCTATATACATGTACCTCTAAATTGCTTTGAAGGAGAAAATGTTAAGTTATGAGGTAAGTCTTGGACTCAAATAGACGTGAGATCAAAGTGTGCTTATGTCACTTTTTTTAGCTGTGTCATCTCGGGCACATTATCTCACTAATCTTAAATTCTCTCAACTATAAGACTGGCAATAATATCTTCTTAAAATGATTCTTCTGAAGACAAATAAGAATGTATATTAATGCTCATCTTAGTTTCTGATATAAGTGTATGCATACAGTAGGTATGATTATTATGCTATTTTTGTGGTTATTAACATGTAAACAGAAGTCATTAGCATTTGTTTTCCTGCAACAATGAGTTATTACTAATGACTGTGGTTATGATTGACTTTAAATCATGGAGACAAAATGGGAGAACTGATGTTATGAGAGGTACCCAAGTATCACAGTGCATGTTGGGAAGGCAGTGTGTCCTGGGAATGTAGGGAGATGTGGAAATCAAACAACAGGAACTACAGAACCCACTATAGGTTAAAACTTTACATACGGGGCAGCTTCTTTATGTCTTGCCTAGGCTGCCTTGTTGGCTCTAAATAAGAAAGAACCACTCAGAAAATGGGTTGCATTTCATCAAAACTATATATCTTAAGAAAGACTTCCCTTCACTCTTTCTCCCAATTTGAAGATCTCAGCAGAAATGCCATTAGCTCCCAGAAACTTTGCTATATTTATGATTTTCGTAACAATGTGACCAATTTGAAACTTAGTGCAAAGGTCGAGTTACTAAACCTTGGAAAGTACCATGGACTTTGTTTACTAATTTAGCTTCTGTAAGGAAAATTCAAAGTATCTGAAGACAGGTTAAAAGAATAAGCAACAGAAATCATTGTTGGATGTTTAGTGATTTTAAACTTGGGTGAATGGAATTCAAAGTAATCCTGTAATATAAAATTCCAAGATTAGATGGTGTCAGAAACAATGAAAGATCTGGGAATTGCTTTTATGCTCCTTACACGCTAAGAAGTTAGCATATTACTGTTATATAGGTGCTGGTGGAAGTCACAAGGTCAGAAACAAAGGACTTTATTACTCATGGCACAGTAAGCAGCATGAGTTCCAGAAGCAATATTTATGTCAGTTTTGCTAGCTACAATATTCCCCAGTGTCTACACAATAAGCCTGAATGGATGCTGTGCTTACCCAAAATGGGTTTGTGTCATAGCTGAGGAATACTGATCTTGGGGATTCCACTGATTTTTATTGAAAGCAGTAAGCAAGACTGAATGTGTTCCTGGGGCAGGAGGCAGAGGGTTATGAACTGCATAAAAAATCTTGAGTAATGGCCCAGAAAAAAAACCCAAAAAACAAAAATCCAAAACAGTTAGGGCCTTACATTCTTAGCATATCCAGGAAGACATGTAGGATCACAGGAAGATCAAGGAGGATGGTATCTCTATAGATCATCTAGAAAGAGTTACAGGGAACATATTTAGAAAAATATAGTCTTATGTAACTAACACCTGTCTATTTTTGGTTGTCATGGTCTAGATAGCAATTATGTCTCACTATATTTAATATACTGTTTTCAATTGGATGAGTTAAAAACTGCATATGGTGGAAATAATGTAGGGTGGTCCTAATGATTCTCACGTCTTGGTATAAAAGCCCTTGTCTTATTCACTCCCACTGAGTGTGGGTGGGGCCTATGACTTGGTCCTAACCGGTAGAATATGACAAAGATAACGTGTCATGTTAAATAGGTGGGTCTTCCAGAGCACTCATTTCAGAGGCTCTCTTGCTGGCTTGATGAAGTAAGCAGCCATGATGGGGAAACCCATGTGAGAAGCCTCTAAACCTGAGGGTAGCCTCGGTCCAATACCAGCAAGAAGTCAAATTTTCAACCCTATAGACTTAGAGAAATGAATTCTGCCAACAACCTAAGTGAACTTGGAAGCAAACTCTTTTCCAGTCCCTAGGTAAGAATGTAGGCCAGCCAAAACTTTTATTGAATCATGTGAGACCCTAAGCCAAGGAGGCAGGTTAGCCAACCATACCCACAGTCCTAACCCACAGAAGTTGTGAGATAATAAGCGTATGTTGTTTTAAGCTATGAAATGGTGTATTATTTTGTTACACAGCAACAGATAACTAACGGACTCCAGTAATTCACCATGTATCATTGGTATCTCCTCAGAATAGCAGTTCTAATTATTTTAATAAATGCAAATAAGCAAATAATATTTTTGATGTTGAATACATCCTGGAATTTAGCTTTTGTATATACGTTTCTTTAAAAATTAGTGTTACTATCTAGATTTCGTTTGTATAAAAATTGTAAGCTGAACCATCTCAACAACTGGTCACCAATAATTTTTAACTTGTTAATAAAACCTTCCAACAGTGAATAAAAAGTGATTGAACAGTAACGCTTCTGAGCTGTTCCTACTGAGGGAACGAACATTTAGAATGTAACACAGTTAGTGTCATGGTGCTAGGCAATGGGAGAACGTGCCACTAGTCTAGATGCCAGTTAGGAAGGGAATCTTTTGACCAAAAGGAAATTACTGTAACCTACACTATTGTTTTCTTGGGGATAACAAGTATAAGTGACAGTAAACATTTGCAGAGCTTATTGGAAAAAATAAACCTTTACAAAATCAATTTATGAAGACTAATGACTTTCTACCAATAGTAATGAGTTTCAAATGAAATAGCCAGTGAGAGAGAAGCACCAGTGGGTATGGGACTAAAAGTAGATCAGCAGAACATGGAAAAAGAAGGAAAAAAAGAAAAAAAATATATCTAAAACCAGAAAAAAGACTAGGTCTAGGCATTAATACTAGTAAAAAACTACAAATTAATGAAAAAATATTTTATTTTATTTTATTTTTATTATATTTATTTATATATATAATATATTATATTTTATATATACTATACTTATTTTATTTTTAATCCTGTAATATTGGGGTCCACTGATTATAATTACAAATAAGCTAATATTTACTAAATTGAAAACTATTTGTGGTGTGAATGTAGATGTTCTCAGGAAATAATTTTTATCATTTTAATAATATCCCAAGTTAAAATATAATATTAGATATTGCTATATACACATATAGATACTTGGCCTAGGTGGTACATATTTGACTATAACAATCTAGGCTGTGTTGCCAAATACTTGAATATTTTTAAATGATTTGCAAACATTTTTAATCAATATCTATTACTTTCCTGGTAATGAACTTGGGATGTATTATTATTATTATATATTTTGCATATAGAAAAATTGACTCACATGGCATGAATATCAGAATCAAAATAATGAAAAATGTATGAAAGAAAAACGGGCCATCACAAAGTACCTATACCATTGTTTATTATAGGAATATAAAGCAAAAAAAAAATAAAAAATATATATATATACACACATACAGAGGGTGCCAAAATTCATACACATTTTAAGAAAGGAAAAAACTCTATTGAAATTGTAATACTCAATATATACTGATAACAAAAGATGAATACAAGTCATGCATATACATTTTTTTGGCACCCCTGGTAGTATAGATAGAATGTGGTTTTAAAATTGAGTTGTTTTCATATACAAGGTCTGACAATTAAGTTCATGAAGTCATCCTAGAAAAAGTGCTACATACCTCATTGCCGAATATCTCTACAGTCACCTTCAAAGTATTCCCTTTGGGAAGCTATGCACTGACACCAGCGCCTAGTCCACCCTTCAAAGCAATTTTGGAACTCTTTCTGGAATGGCCATCAGAGCTGTTGTCATATTATCCTTGATGTCCTGAATGTCATCAAAATATCTTCCTTTCAACATTTCCTTTATTTTTGGGTAAAGAAAGAAGTCACTGGGGGCCAGATCAGGTGAGTAGGGAGGGAGTTCCAATACAGTTATTTGTTTACTAGTTAAAACTCCCTCACAGAGAGTGCCATGTGAGCTGGTGCATTGTCGTGATGCAAGAGCCATAAATTGTTGGTGAAAAGTTCAGGCTATTTTCGTCTAACTTTTTCATGCAGCCTTTTCAACACTTCCAAATAGTAAACTTGGTTAACTGTTTGTTCATTTGGTACAAATTCAAAATGAATAATCCCTCTGATGTCTAAAAAGGTTAGCAACATCGTTGCAACAAGTTCAGAACTTGTCAGACCTTGTATATATGAAGCTGTATATATGAAGTTGTGGTTATGTTTAGATTTTAAAAATATCAGCCACTGTTAGCTTGCATATCGGTCTCATGCAATCAATTTTTCTAAGCCTAAAAGGTTATGACTGTGGTTATGTCAGATATACTAAGGTATGTTGGGACACTACACAAACATTAAGATAGAATAGTTTCTCCCCTGGGAAGGATCTTGTTCACTGATTTCTCATTAGCCAATTTCGGTTGGCAGAATTTCACTTTACGCATCTTCTATTTTCTATTTTCTAAAAATATAGAATATTTTCTAGAGCATAAATTTTAAATTTCTTACCTGCATTTATAACATAGCTACCACAGCATTATAGATCTCTGTTGTACTTAAATTGACAACCCTGGGTTTGGAGGAAATAAGTGGTTGTTTGTTTTCATTCTTTGCAATTGTAAAAAAACAACAACCCAGCATGTTGGGTCATTTTGCTTTTTACTGTCAGGCTTAGCGAGTTCTGCCCTTTCTGCAACATGGTAACAAGGGATCATTTCTGCAACAAGGGATCATTTCACTCCCCTTAACCTTTGTGTAATTTGCCAAGAATTTGAGATTCACTTCATATAAGCATTGAGAATTAAGAGTGCAGGCCTAGATTTTATTGGTCTCTCCAAATTCAAGTAAGATAAAAAAAGAAATTACTAAGAGCTTGATTTTTGGCTTTGCACTGGTCTTTATCTTATTTTACATACAGAGGGTGTAAAAAAATGTGTACACATTTTAAGAAAGAAATAAACTGTATTAAAATTGTAATGCTCAATAATATATACCGATAACAAAAGATGTATACATTTTTTGGCACCCCCGGTATAACAGCTTTACTGAGGTATAATTCACATATTACATAATTAAACATTTATAGTGTAAAATGCAATGGATTTTAATATATTCACAGAATTCTGTAACCATTGCCACAATGAATTTTAGAATATTTTCATCATTCCCAAAAGAAACATTGTATCTATTAACAGTCACTCTCCATTTCATCCTAACACACCCCCTCCTAACTCTAGGCAACAACATATCTATTTTCTTTCTTGATTTGCCTATTCTGGACATGTCATATAAATGGCATCACACAATATGTGGTCTCTTGAGACTTCTTTTTACTCAGCATATGTTTTCAAGGTTCATCCATGTTGTAGCATGTATCAGTACATTTATTTTTGTTGCCAAATAATGTCTCACAGTATGGATATATCACATTTTTATCTATCCATTCATTAGTTAATGGACATTTGGGTTGTTTTCACTTTTTGGCTGTTGTGAACATATGTGTAGACGTTTTTGTGTATACATAAACTTTTCATTTCCCTAGGAGTAGAATAGATGGGTTATACGGTAACTCTGTTTAATCCTTTGAGGAACTGCAGTGTTTTATAAAGTTACTGCACCATTTTACATCCCCACCAGCAGTATACAAAGTTCCAGTTTTTCCACAACCTCACCAATACTTGTTATGATCTATCTCTTAAGCATAGCTTTTCCTAGTTGGTGTGAAGTGGTATGTCACTGTGGCTTCAATTCTCGTGTCTCTGATTGCTAGTAAAGTTGAGGATCTTTTCATGTGCTTGTCTTTACACTTTGACCATGTGGTCTCATTCAGAAATAGCTGATTTGTTTGGGGAGTAGAGACTCAAAATGGCTAATATATATTGCATTATGTCATTTGGTGTGTGTCTTTCTCTGTGTGATGGTATAACATCTTAATCCATGTGACAGTATCTCTATTGGTGTAGTGATTTGTATTTTAGAAAGCAAGGGCCAGAAGAGTTAAGGGACAACAAAAGGAAAGACACCAACTCAAAATCATGGAGAAAGCAGGGTTAACTTCCAGAAAGCAAGAAGCCAAAAGTCAGAGAAAACATGATCAAAATCTAAGCTGAAGCAAAATGGTTGTTCTTTGTAAATAGAACTGCAATATCCCTTGCTACCCACTATTGACCATTAGCGTCTTAAAGAATTGGATGTTTGGGCTGATTTATAGGTATAGTGTCAATGAGAACAGTTAAGTGTTTATTTTCAAGTCTCCATTTTTACCTTGCCTTAGGTACTCTATGGCTACAAAACATTCCTACACCCTCTGAAAAATTAAAGAGAAAAATAGAGCCAGGGTCAGGCTGAGTGGCGTGTTGGTTAAGAGCTGGCTTGGGACGCCAGAGGGCCCCGGTTTGGATCCCACATATGAGGGCCAGTGACACTGCCCTCTACAGCTAAGATGCTGAACAACAGCTCAACCTGGAGCTGGGCTGCTGTGAGTTGCCTGCTGCAGTGGGTTGCCATGGGCTACCGTGTGTAGCCAGCAGCCGCTGTGAGTGGCCGTCCAGAGGCCGGCGACTGATCTGCCTCACCCGGGAAGAGCGCAATGATGGTGCCAACTTGGGCCAGTGAAGCAACATCCTTCACAACTAGACTGAAAACCAAAAGGACAGCAACTTGTCTGTCCACCTTCCCCCAATTCCCCAGCACTGTTCCCATCCCCCAATTCCCCAATAAAAATCTTTAAAAGAAAAGAAAAATAGAGCCAGAAAGAGGCTTGCTAATTATATTCTGTCTAGACCTACGAGTGCCAATGTGAGCTAATAATAGGTCAGAAGCATAAAGCAGAAAACCCATATGTAAATTGGGGAATGGAAAAGATGTGGGAGTTTGATGACTGACTAATAGGGCTTATGTTTTTGTCAATGTAAAATTTGGAAAAAGAGATATTATTACCTTCCTGGGGTGATATAAAAATCCAACTTTAATTAGTGACTATGTGAAGTACAATGACAAAACAAAAGAAAACAAAGCACGTAACAAGATGTAGGAGGCATCAAGTCCAAATTATTTACATTTTAAAAGTTAAAGATCCTAATCACATATAAATTTTTGTCTCTTTAAAGAGGCCTCCCCCTAAGCGTAGTCACACAATAACAATGCAATTCAACCCCTCATTTTCTTAATGAGAAACTAAGGCTCAAAGAAATTAAGGGGGTTTAATCCAATTAAGCGAATACTGACTTTATTAATAGACACATGAACTAGAACTGAGATCTTTGAACTCCAAATGTCGTGACCTTTCTTTTTTAATATTGTTTCAACTATGTTTCCAAGTCAATAGTAAGCTAGGTCTGGCTCTTTATGATGCAAAGTAGAGGGAATATTTGATAAGCATGTGATTAATTTGGGTTTAGCAAACTCTGTAATTTATTTCTCTTCCACTACTTCCCAGTTTTGTTCTAGACAACCACTTCAAAAACATGATTTAATTCTGAGATCCAAATGGTTAACTGTTCTCTACCACTAACCAAGCATAGTATTAAGCCTAGCTAGTTTCCACTTACTTTATGGTGGATAAAATACTATACAAATACTGTACAAGCAATGTACAATATTGTATGTGTGCAAGAGGGATTAATTAATAAATCTGTAATGGGAGGTACTCTAACAAAGACTGCTCTGATTATTAAAAAGCCATAATTACATGTAAACTTGACTAAATTAACCTCCCTAAGTGATTTTCCTTCAATAAAGAATTAAATAACATGAAGTGAAATGAACCAAAACCAAATAAACAAAATAAATTGTCTTGAAAAATTGAATATAGACAACATATAGACATTGGCTAAAGCTTGTTATTTAACAATAAATTTAGAAAACTTGCTGTCTTTAAAAAAAATTTTTTTTAATATATGCATCAATACAATGTATATGCCAGAAATAATTGTGGACTACTTAGAGTGCTAGAGTGCTAAATGTTAAATTTCTGAATCAATAATAACCTCTTTCTGCTTCTAAGATATTTATAAATTGTTCCTCCTTTTTGAGGTCTCCAGGGACTTTAGACTGCCAAGAAACTACAGGAATCTTACACAAAGCATTTGAACACCATGCAAGGGCTTAGTGAATATTTGTTAATAATGAGGTTGATGATAAACTATCACTTATTTGTTATATTTCAGGGTTGTTTATCTGCACTGGAATGTTTCTTGTTAAAATTGATGTTTTCCTCCTACGCTTTGGTTCTTAACACCCCCTTGATGATTGCCTTCGCAGAAATTGATGTAAGGAAGTTGTCATTCTGTTCTCTGCATCCGAATGGCAATTACCAAGCATTTGTAAAGCTTGAATGAATTCTTTTTAAGCCTCTGCTTAGATAGATTTTCAGCATTTATCAACTTACAAAAGATATATGTGCAAACCAAGACTTTGAAAATACAGTTTTAACAAGATTTAAAAGAGATTTTCACAAAAACACAATTCTACAAATGTAGTGTTAAAATGACTTAGCAGGTACGTCCTAAGGGAAGAATTGACTTTGCTGGGGAACACACGTGGACCATTTTGTGTGAAGAGTTATGCCATAGAGGAGGAACAGTGAAAAGAGGGTACATTGGCTGATGGGCTAGATTCCTCTGTACGAGAAAATGGCCTAGAGATGTTTAAGCATAGCTTTGATGAATACTCACATTTAAATTTTGTGCATAACTGCAAATATAAGCCT